GTGCCTTTTGTGGAGTTGCATATGTTCTTAACACATCCTTTAATCAAGTTAAGCATCTTCGTATACCACCTGTTCACGTGGAACTAGGACTTTTGAATTTGCAAAATTAGCAGGTGTCTGTTTTAAAGCATATTAATCACATATATTGCTTCTAAGAAAAATCCATACTTCAATGCACATATGACTTATTATGTTATAAGACAAAGGTCTGATTTTTAGCCTTACTGCTCTAACTGAGGTATCCTAATGCTTCCATGGTAACCTTAGTTACCGTTGTCACAGTTGTGGTGAAACCGAATTGCCCCATTACTCTGAGTCTTGTTTCGATCCCACAAAGCCTAGCGTTATCTTGTGCAAAGATCTCAATTTGGGAAACCATGAATCTGGTCCTATTAATCATTCTGCAGTTGGCATGATAAGGAGCAGATAAGAGAGGGGATGGAAGGAGCGTTTGTTTCAAAGCACGAAATATTTTAAAATAACTATTCTTCGGCGCCTATTGCATCCTTCTTGGTGAATACGAGTGATAAATTCTCACTACAAAGTGAGCAGCACCCAGGTCAGCATAGAAGACAACGGAGACAAATAGGCAATCGACACTTCTTATTAACCAACTCCTTACATGAATTTCAAAATTTTAAAACCTCAGTTTGCCAGCGTGATGTGTTGCCTAATCCCTATCAAGTTGGTCTCTACCAAAAATGCTAAAACAACAAGATGAAGCATCATTGACCTTTGAGTTTAATCCGTAGACCACTATTATCTGGGGATCTAAATCTGGTACTTTGAAATTAAGTGTTGTTTAAAAAGGCAGCAGAAATGCTCTCAGAAATGGGATTTTATTCTGCTTCATCTACGGGATCCACAAATGTTGAGATCGATGACAGCTGAAATCCGTAGGGCCCTGTAGATCATCAAAGTAATAAAAGGAGAAAGCATTTAATCGACTCACTTTTAGTTTACTTCGTCTTCAGTGGGCCCAATCATTTCTTGCAACATTGAAATGACTGATGAAATTTGTAATTTAATTGTGCCTGAACATCATCACCGTTCCCATCATTCTTCAGAACAAATGAATGTGTCACTTAAGAGGATGAAGAGACAAGGGCTCTAGGAAGAGAAGGGTATAGCCAGCCCACAGAAGGAAGGTGCACCACAGTATTATGCGCTGCTTGGTGTAATGAGCACTTAATTTCATTGAAAAATGATTACATTTGCCCTCCACGCATCCACGTATTAAAGCATCTGGATATTCACCTCGTGATCAGTCATTTACTTCGCAACCTCTTTTGAATTTCTTTATCCACAGACATTTTAAGGAAGAAGCCCACTTTCTGACCCTAGTCTATCTGGACGTCAAACATTAGGATTGGTGTTAATGATGCATCAGTGGCGTTTGTTGCTACTGACCATACCTAATGATGGCACAAATGCGTGGGAGATGGACACAAGTCCTCTCGATACAGGTGGGTAGAAGGTAAATCGAGCCACCTTATAATGGTTTTCTTTACCACTGTATTATGTCACGACGGTAAAGATGAAACAGTTTTCTCGTGCGGTTTTAAGAAAAATACTTCTTTAATGAATTTTATTACTCACTTTTTCCGCCCCTGTTTGAGTCTATTGACTCTAAGGGAGATTTTAACCATTCAAATGGTTTAGATTGAGAAAAAATTTTATGAAGTCAAGGTGACTGAATAAGTGGACAAGGCCGACCCCCTGTACAGCAAAATATTAGGTCAATTCAAAAAGGCCCAAGGAAATGAAGGTAGATTCGTGGTGCTGCGGGCATACATGACATAAAGGTATTTTGAGTACATTCTGCTTACTATCTGGAAAAATTATGGTCGTACCTCATGAACGTATTTTTCCCGTTAAATATAAATTCAGTCCTTAATTTGTCCGTCTTTAACCAGAAGGAAGCATATTAAATAAAATCCCAAATCAAAAAAGTCTACTTGGTTTTTCACTTTTATTGGTACTAGATTGCACAGCCGTAAATTCTACCTACTTAATGTTCTTCACTTCTTTCATGCAAAAAATTAAAAGGGGATAAGTGAATCTATTCATTCACGCATTACGACGGCACCTCATCTGAAGGGGAAATTCACTATTAATCTTGTTCACCAATTGTTCACTCATTATGTCCTATCAAATGCAAGGCAGCTCCTGAGAAATATCTTTTAGGATATCAATTCTGTTGCATTTCCCTTGTTTGATTATGCATAACTGTCCAATTTTCCTGTGCCGTCTTCCTAAAAAGCTCTCATTTTTACACTTTGCTTGATAGTTTTTATCTCTTCAAGAGGTATAAAATGTTGCATGAAAGGGTGATGGGAGCTGTTCGGATGGAAGGGAGATACACCTATTCTGTCTATTATTTTTCCAAAATTGTAGGTTCCAGATCCCAATTTACATATAACATACTTGGTACAAAGCATCCATGTGTAAGACAAACCCTGTGTAGGGTTAAATGAACACCTACTGTAAAACGGAACAGAAAGGTGTTGGCTCTTGAGATCAGCCAGAGTAATTAAGGGCGAGTGCGTAATCTGACATCGTTCTCTGCAAACATTGCTACGCCCAAGCTGAAGAAGCTTCTACGCATTAGTAAAGCGAACTCTGAAAGCGTCGTGTCATGTAGGAAATGAATTTTATAGAAATGATTTAAGTCATCTTGTGACTTTAGTTAAAGAAGAGAACACCTTTGGTATGTAAAGATGGCATTATTTAATGTATATTACTTGGAAATAAAAGGAAGCTTTTCTGAGGGACTGGACAATTCCTGTGCAGCAAACCTTATAGCGCCATTAAAAGTAAATCCGTATTTTTCATTGCTTTGCTAGTGCCTTGTATTTTAAGGTAAAATGGTGTATACAATTTTATGGCCCTTTGCGCTCAGTACCCGGAAGGTCTAGATCTACCTGAGTTCAGAGCCTCTTCACCACCTGCGTGGATCAACATCAAACAATTGATTTAATTGTTATGGTGTGTCTGTCCGTCAATGTCACGACGAGGTTCGTCTCTTGAGCAAATTTACAGGTGGAAAAATTCATTTAAAAGTTGGACCCTGATGAGCGAACCGAATGTCCACTGGGAGAGATGGAGGTGTAATAAATTGGCACACACCATGGTTTGGGTCTCTCTACTTTGCTTAGGATGCCCAATCACGTCTAGTTTCCGCACCTCATGAGTGACAGTGTTTGGAACTACCTATGACGTATGCCTCAGCCATTACCGATAGGACACACCTAACACCCACATCTGTATGAATTACTATTGTGGAAGGCCTCCAAGATGGTGCGCATTGGTATTAAGTGCCAGTTTAATTTGGATGCCCAAATTTTGCGTCTCTTTTCTAAAGCAGAAAAGCTAACATCAAAAATGCCCAAGTAAATTTTGAGCAGTCATAACTGTGAAATAAGGAGGCATTCAACTCTGTGTAGATGGTTGATTTGCCTCTCCATCTACTTTATCATTGACACATGGATTTGGTTTGACAGCAAGGGTCAATAAATTATTTTTGCTGCATGTGATACCTGATGCAAGGACATCTATTTCTATTAGGGTAAACGGATAGCCAGTTGACATTGTTTTATGAACGCTCATTTTTCCTTTCTGGTTATTCCAAAGCTATCAGGCTTGCAGTTCTAATGCATTGGAACGTATAACTCTGGTTTGTTCTCCTTTAAGACTACGCTAATACCCTAACCTTTTTGCACATAATTTAGTCCGTTTTTAAAAGATGGTGGGGTCAAAATAAGGCACAATTCTTCTTTCGTCGGTTATGCTGCATTCATTTTCGGTTGTTGCCAAAAACGAGAACAATTTCTAAAAGGATCATGACAATTTGGTGGGTTCTAAGTCCTTTTAAGCAGAAATATTTATGGTTGGTAAAATATCTAACAAAAATCGCAGAAGTCGATTGACTAAGGTAGCTCCAATTCATAATCTGTGCGTAAACCAGATACACTCCTGCAAGCATAGAAGTCGAGAACGGAGGTAGAGTTCCCTCTCTCCCCTCTGTGGAGTCATCGTCATCGTTTGGGCGTGAATGCAAAGAAGTGGAGCTGTCTAAACTACCTCTTTGACAAAACCAGAGCGTGTAAGACGAAAAGTGGGCCATAGACACAAGCACTTATTTGAAAGTTGAAACTGCGAAAATGTATCATGAAA